GGGCGGGGGATGCAAAATGGAGGGGACTCGACCCCGTCGGCCACCGATCATGAAATGGATGGCTCTGTTTATGCGAAGACCAGCCTCGGGATTTCGAGAGTCCATTCTCGCGACTCTTTCCGGGTAATAGAAAACAGGGGCTTGATGTTTCGGACGTAACACGTTTAGGGTGGGACGTAAGAGTTTGTTTGGTAGTCTTGTTTCCTGGTTGAAAATGAGGTTTGGGAAGATTGGTCTAAAACTTCGACAATTGTCAATGTTATACGAACGTTGAATATTATTATTTATTGAAGGAAGCTATTTACATAAATATAGATTTGCTATATTTCTTCCTCAGCTTCCTGCTCCTTGTAGATTCAATGAAATTCCGTTTACTCGGTGTACCATCGAGAACATTTATTTTTCATCTGCGGAGAGAGTCGTCTCACTTGAATTTGAATGACTGGAGGTTAAACTGTTAATACTATCCTTGGAATCAGTTTCATACTTTGAATCCTCTTTCATAAGCAACAAGCTTTAGCTACCTGCTCCTCTTATCGCCAGAGTTTCAGCGTTCCAGTTTAGTGCGGGCTTGTTAAGATTCTACTACGCTCGTTCCTCGATGCAACATTTTGTACGAGATATCAGCTTTCTGTTCAGCAGGGGCCGTCATAAAACAGTTTGAATTTCGCTGTGCCCTCCACCTACGTAATCTCGGAAACGCGTACACCGCGCGTGTGTCCGACCGGAGGAAGCAAGGAACGAGGAACGAAACAGCGAAACGAAGAAGATATTTCTTCAGAATTACACGGAATTTCTCTGTATTCCCGGTATATCTTTATTTCCCCCGTTAATTAATAGTACTGGCAGTTACCGGCGGTAATTAGGTTCTCCTTTTCTTCGGCCGAAACGAAAGCCGCGTTCGGGACGCTTGGACGACCCGCTGAATAACAATAATTATTCGTGCTGCTGTTGCGCAACAAATCCGCCGCCGGCGATGATTTATCGGCGAGTGGCGCGTTTAAAGCCGGCCCGGTCACCCGTGAAGCTTCGTCCGCTCGAGCGGAGCTGTCGAATCGCCTGGATCCTCGGGAAATTCGACGCATTATTAAACCCTTAACCAGTTAAGTGTGAAACTTCGTTTGAAAGATCTCTTATTGTGCGCGCGATAAAATCAAATTGTCTGTTTCGAAAAATAAATAATCCATCTTTGAAAAAGTTAGCACCATTAAGAGTTTTAAGATGTGTATACTCGTCAAATACAGTTAACTGGTTAAACGGGGAATGAAATTCTGATGATAGTTCGCATCGGTGGAAAATGTTATTTCGAGATGCGAAAACTCGTCGAATGTCTTTTATGTAGATTTGTTATGTGGATGGTATGGATACTGTGATATATGTATGTATAGTCAAATTAGAATTGACTAAAATGTTTCAAGTTTTAGTGGAATTATATACATACATTAGTATATAGTTGAATCACAATTGATTATAATTGTAGGGGTTAATTTCTCAGCTGCAGCATTCGATTTTCTGAAACGCTCACGATTCCCACGCCCGAGGCGTGTCTTCCGGACACGATTCCAAGGCACCGCGATTCGAATCGACGATTCCTTTAATCTCGCGGTGTTTGCATGCTCCCTCCCTTTCATCCGCCCCACAGAGACAAACCGAACCAGCCCCAAAAGGGGCGGCGGTCTTGGCGTTCCTCAGCGTCCACGTCCTGGAAAATTCAATTACGCTCTTCTGCCCGCGAAAATCGCAGTTATTGGCTGCTATTGTTGTCCACCTGCTGTCGATCGATCGTCTCATAAAATTACCTCGGCTTCTATGAGAAACAAAGCGAACTTTATTTTTCCAATCAGGTGAAGAGTGAGAAACTGAACTTTGCAACACATTGAACACCTATGTATCAAATTTATATATATACAATATCACGATAATCTAACCATTCCTAATCTATGCTAAATAGATTTCCAAATATCATTTCTGAAACAAACTACATTATCCCCATAAAAACGGAATATTAACCCTTCGCTCTCGAAAGTTTCTCATTAGAAATATTTAACATTCTTCGACGAGACAACGACGATATTCTTTGAAATATACAAAATACCAAATACAAAATGCAGATGAAGCTGAATTACATATCGATTGCTTAAACAATAAAAAAGGAAACTACGTACTAATCTCTTGCCGTTTGAATAACTAAATCATTCGTTCGTTACTTAGTGCTCCAACTATGAAAATTCGATCTCTCTGTAATGTCGACATCCGTAATCTCAATCTTGTTAGAATGTTGAGAGCGCGGTAAAACAAAGCTGCAGTTGATATTCATTCGATCGTTCATCGATAATTCAAAAGTGCTTAGGCATTAACCCTTTGCACTCGGAAGTTTTTCATTAGAAATATCTTAACGTCTTCCGATGAGGTAGAGCTGTTCGAATATTTCTCAAATTGATGCATCGTATGAAGTTTAATATTAACTATCAAATTTTATAGTTTTACTATATGAAATCGATTGGTGCGAGAGACACCTCTCGAGTGCAAAGGGTTAATGAATATAGTAAGAAAATAAAGATTATAATAAAGAATGTTGTAGATACTTGTCATAGATCTACCTACATTAGCATAGACACTATAAAAATATCACTTATCTACCGATCAAGCTATTTTCTTCAAACATTTCTCAAATTGATGCATTGCACGAAGTTTAACATTAAGCACCAAATTTTATAGTTTCACTGTATGAACTCAATTGGTCAGTGAGAGGCAGCTCTCGAGTGCAAAGGGTTGAAGCACTCCATTCCGCCGCGAGCGATAGCAAAGATGGAGTCGTTCGGCTGGAAGTTGGCATACGGAACAATGGTGGGTCCACGGGTCTACGGAGGAGGTCAGCGGCCATTCTCTGATGATATTGATTAGCCGACGCCCTTAGTTAGCGCCGGCTACACTTTCTTCGGCCCCGCCGCTTTTCCTCTCGCTCCTGTTCCTCTCTGTAAACGTTTCCTCTCGCAGCCCCCCCCCCTGG